TAAGATGAATATGGGCCACACCATGATGTTGTGCATTGGTTGCCAAGTAACCTTAATCGTGAGCATGTCTGTACACGGGTGTCACAACAGCATCAAATTCAGCTGAAAATGGTAGTTTATCAACCTCATTATCATACGATAAGTCGGCTTGGCATGAGGGGTAGTCCGTACAATCGGCCGAGGTGCGAGTGTACATGGCATATAAATCCCGAGAGCTCCCTGCATGCAAATCCCGGACATCCTCCTCAGTTTCAAACATTCCGAGTTCCCACAACCCCGCTATGTCTTCTCAAGTACGCGTCGCAGTTACCCAGGCAGAGCCTGTCTGGCTAGACTTGGAAGCGACCGTGAATAAGACGTGTAACCTTATTGCGGAAGCAGCTGCGAATGGCGCTCAGTTGGTTACTTTCCCCGAGTGTTGGATCCCGGGATATCCTGCCTGGATCTGGTGGGTACAACTGCACCATGTGGCACGAATCATACAGACTGACAAATGATTATCGGTCTGCAAAGGACACGGCCTGTTGACATGCGTCTGTCATCTACTTATATACAAAACTCCCTGAAAATAGACTCCCCGCAGATGGCCAGCATCCAACAATGCGCAGCGGAGAATGAAATCGTCGTTGTTCTGGGCTTTTCCGAGAACTTGCATAACTCCCTGTATATCTCGCAGGCTATTATTGGAAGTGATGGAAAGATCCTCACCACCCGCAAGAAAATCAAGCCCACTCACATGGAGCGGACCATTTTTGGGGACTCATTTGGAGACTGTCTGCAGAGTGTAGTTGACACGTCGGTCGGTCGCGTCGGTGCTCTTTCCTGCTGGGAGCACATCCAGCCTTTGCTCAAGTACCACACTTATGCCCAGAGGGAACAATTCCATGTTGCCGCATGGCCGCCTCTGTTCCCTCACAGCGAAGACGGTTCCTTGTTTTCGATGTCCAGCGAGGGTATGGATTCCAACTGGACGAGGTACACAGATGGAATGCTAACAAGTCTCCTTTCAGGTACCATTTCCATTGCGAGGACATATGCTATCGAAAGCCAGTCTTTTGTCCTTCATACCACGACAGTGATAGGCCAGTCGGGTGTTGACCGAATGGCAACACATGGTGGTGCTCTGATGAGCACCCCTGGCGGAGGCTGCTCCGCCATCTTCGGGCCTGACGGCCGCCAATTATCGCAGCCCATTCCCAGCACAGAAGAGGGCATTATTTACGCCGACCTCGACTTGGATCAGATTTACCACTCCAAAGCCTTTGTAGATGTCTGTGGACACTATAGCCGACCGGACCTTCTGTGGCTGGGTGTGGAGGGCAGTGTCAAGCGCCACGTTAGGGAAAATGCAGCGACTGTCGCAGGAGAAGCGGAGCAGCAGGATTTATAGAGAATATAAGTGTCGAGATATCTCTGAAGCTCAGGATGTCCTGATTCTCTGCACTGCTTGACAGCGGAATCCTGAGTAGCCGGGAGAGAGCCGGAAACACACCCTTGATATACGCTCTGCACCTATAAATAGCGAAAGTTCACATTTCGCACGCATCGAATATAAGAATTAAATGCTGAAACTCAATATGGGAAACTTGCACCGTTCCTAACAGCCACTTCTGCTTGGCTGTTTCCTAGGTCTACCGGAATCCCTGTCCTCTGAATAGTAGTAGTTACTGGTCACTGGGGTGTGATGCTTACTATGGGTAATCTTTCATATTTTTTAATTCCCTCTCAAGGCTACCATCCTATGTCCTATGGTGACTGGTCTAACGATATCAGTTACATGGGGAAAGATTAGCACGTAAGTGGTGAGCCCATGCTTACTGGGTAGCTAGATAGCTGCTTACAATTCGGAAGGACCGGATTTAATCCAATGAAACTTCGCGGTCATAACTACTACATAAATTCTTTGGGCCGTGCGCACCAGCCTCAGCCACAGCAAAATGTACTTGCTTTCTGTTGGAAAAGGCTAGTACTGACCGGCATCCGATGGAACATCTCTGATTCGTTGAGTAGATGATACGGCTCTGCAATTTAGGTCTATAGCCTTGCAGTGCACTGATAAGGCTCTCAGCCTTGCTAGTCTCTTCTTAAAGCTCTTGCATACCTCCAACCTGCCGCTGAGGTCTCACATCCATCAATAACCTTCTGTACTGACGCTTCAGAATGCCACCGAGCGACGCTGGCCAGCGACAACATCCCGCATACGAACCACTATACAGTGAACACGACAACCCCGATATATGTGTGGTGCTTCCAGCAAATTGAGTGGAAAAGACCTCGGAAGTATCAAGAATCATGCAAGCTGACTCGCTGGTTGGTATCATTTATACGGTCGGATTGAACCAGATTGCTTTATTATCTAATAATACAGATAGTACATTTCCCACTATATGTTAACAGTGCTACGTAGACCAAACAACCAGTAATTCCATCTATTCCTCTACCCCAGCACTAGGACCCCAGTCTAAGGAAATCAACTAACCTATATATCCTTCCGCGCGTGCCTGCTATACCTCTTCCTCAACGTCTCCCCGTACTACACACCACATCAATTAGCCCGATTCCCGCACTTCCCCTTGAAAGGAAAAGAAAACTCACCTTCATCAACACAACCGGAATTGGAATGAATGCACAGCCCAAAAACGCCAACGTCGAGCTCGCCCAATCTACCCCCAGATTCTTATACATCGCCGTCGCGAACAGCGGAAACCCAGCACCAAACGCACTCCGAAACAAATCATTCCCGGCAAGCACACTAGCCGCATACTCCGGATATGCATCGGAGAGATAATTCAGCACGGGGTTGAAAAGCAAGAACGCACCGACGGAGAAGAATCCACTGCCCACAATCGGCATGATCCAATGAATAGAGGGTCGGGCACTCCATCCGAACCAAAAAAGACAGATAGGGATGAAGAACCCGCCTACAATAGCGGGCGGGAGACGCGCCTCCGGGGGAACGTTGCCTGTTTCGGGGTCGAATTTAGGTTCGAGGTATTTGTGCATCCACCAGTAATATGGGGGGATTGTTATCAGAGCGCCGGTTAGGATGCCGATGTAGGCTAAACCTTGCTGGCCAAGGTTGAAGCCGTAGATGCCTGCGAAGACGATGGCGAAGGATTCGAACCATACGTAGAGTAGACCGTAGATTAAGGCGATGTATAGGTTGAGTAGGAAGACCATTGGTTCGGTGAAGTTGAGTGTGAAGGGCCGGACGAGCGTCATCATGGCGAGTTCGCGCGCTGTGAGATGTTCACTGGCCAGTTCGGGCTCGCTGCGCAGGTTGGGCCGGTTGGTCAGTTTGCGGAGTCGGCGGGCGCGTCGGTACAGGATGTTGCTCGAGGATGTCTCTGGAAGGAAGATGATTAGTACGACTAGTGTGAATCCTGATAGCCACATTAGTTCCCAGATCGTCCAGCGCCAGCCTTTGGCTTGGGCGGCGAATCCGCCGACTAGGGGACCGAGCACGGGGCCGCAGATGGCGCTGATGCCCCAGATGCCGATGCCGTAGGCGCGTTTGCGGGGGGCGAACATGTCTGAGAGGGTGGCGCCGCCCTGGTGCTGTTAGTGCAGGACAAGGAATGAGGGGGAGGAGAGGGGTACAGTTGCGAGAGCAGGCGAGCCAAAGAAGCCAGTCAGAAAGCGAAAGGCTAGTAGTGTGCCCAGGTTTCCGGCCAATGCGACTGGGACTTGCAGGGCTACAAACACAATCAGTGTCGCGATGTAGACGGAGTTGCGCCCGATCTGGGGCACCTCGCTCATGGGTGACCATAACAGCGGACCCAGTCCATAGCCAGCCACGAACAGAGTCAGTCCTAGAGTAGCCGCTACTTGACTGATCTGGAACTCGGACATAACTGACTCGATACCGGCGCTGTAGATGGCGCTGCCGATGTACACGCTGAAGGTGAGGAGGCAGATTTCAAAGGTCACCACGACTTTCTTCCATAGCGGCCAGTGTTGGGGGTTCTGATGAGTTAGCTTTCGCTCAGCATAGAACAGTATATGCCTACCTCCGGATCACGATCACTCCACCAGTCGACGATAGTCACGTCGCGTCCCTTCTCTGGGTCGATGACGGCCCCAGTGATGCCTTGATACCGACGGCCATTATGCGACCATGCCGTGGAGGGCACCCTTGTCATGGACTCGGTGTCGGCAGCGCTGAAACGCTCAGGCAGTTCTTCATCGGCATCGGGACGACCAGCGTAAGCCATGCGGCCCGATTTGTTGAGGTTGACGTACTGCTGCCATAGCGAGGGGTCTTTTTGCTCCTCGAACCGGAAGTATCGGCCGCGCGAAACCAGGCGGATAAATTGGCCGAGGATGGAATCTTGGATGAGGCAGGACATTCTACCTATACTATTTTCTATCGACGGACTTTACAGAGCTATGATCTACCGGGATGAGTTATATAGGTGTGAACCCTGCTCGGTAACTGGTTTGGTTCCTGAATCAAGCAAGCCAGATGTATGATGTAGCCATGATCACACCTCGCCACCTGTAGTCAGCCAGACTCAATTCTGGTCTGGATGCTGCAATCGCAAACTCAGATCAACCAGATAGGTCTGGAACTTTTCACTATCTGAATAACAATCATCAATTACTTGTCAAATTCCCATGTTATCATTCTCATGATGGTAGAATGTGGACGGAGAAAATATTATGATGCTGATCCCACGGGTCTCACCCGCAGGTGGGGTAGGGTTAGGTTAGGCTGGAATCCCAGTGCCAGTGGGAGAGTAAGAGATATCTCATTACTAAATCACAGCTCTGGAACCCGTCGATCTTTTACCAAAAACTCCTCGCGACCGAGGCAATTGGCGCTGCACCCCGGATTGAGAGACAGCTGATCGATCGTGCCCAGCAACGTCATGTATCCCCCACCCATCGGCTTTGACCGACCAGCAGGATGGGCCAACCACCATCATGTTTGCTTTCTTAGTGCCCTATTAGTGTTGATTAGACCCTGCGCGAGGGACCCCCTTGGCTGAACCCCCCGCATGACCCCAAAATCTCACGCCGCGTGGCTCCCATCGAACATTCATCTCATTTCCCCAGGAAGCCATATCCCGTGCCTGCCAGCACTGGTTCCATCTCCGGTCTCCCGCCTGCCAAGCCTACCCCGAAGCCTTTCACTCGCATCTCGACGGCCTGCTTCCGTTAGTCCTGAGCGGAAGTTGACCGAGCCTCGTCCCCAGATTGTCGGTCTGTCCCACCATGACTCTCAGGACCGGGTCTTGGGGGTGACACGAAGAGGCTCGATCCCCGGATTGTCCCCCGCAGCCAAGGCGCTCCGTCCCACAACAAACCCAGCGCGTTTTCGGATCTTTGTTGCTTTCCAACTCGCCAAGCTGTCCAGCATGTCAAGCGGTGATAAGCTCGTCGCGACAAGTCGGATGCCAACGTGGGATGTCTCCCTGGTGGATATCGTTCCCTGCGCGATCCATTGGCTGCTCTCTCCCCGATTCCCCCGCATGATCACATTTGTCGTAGTGAATTCCCTCCCCGGCTGGTTTGTCCTACCTCACCATGAATAGGTGCCGTTCCGACTGGCTGTCGGTAACCGACGTAGTTCTGATGGGGGTGACTGCTATAAATGCCCCTCCTCCCTTGCAGAGGCCAGCTGGTTCAAAAATCCGTTGTGGCTCGTCCAACCTTTCTCCAGTTGACTGTGTACAATCATGGCGGGTTCCAAGAAACCAGTTAACATTTTTCGTTTGCGCAACCTCGCTGACCCCAAGGAGGTCTTCAACTGGAGACTATGGTTTGCCGTGCTCTCCTTTGGTCTCATGGGCGCTGCCCGTGGTGTCGATGAGGGGTTGATCTCGGGTGCTTTCAACTCCAAGGACTTTCAGCGCACTATTCATCTGGATTCGTACAGTGAGGTGGAACAGACCAACATCAAGGCGAATGTGTCTGCTATGGTGCAGATTGGCTCTGTGGGAGGAGCACTCTTGTACGCCTTCACAAAGATGACCCTTCAAGTCTGTCTGCTGACATTGTTCTAGTGCATTCCTTGTGTGCGACCGTATTGGACGGCTGTGGGCAACTCGCCAGCTATGTGTCCTTTGGATTCTGGGAATTGCCATCTTCATGGGTGTTGGTGCCAACGGTAGCTTGGGTGCTGTCTACGCCGGTCGCTTCGTAGCCGGACTGGGGGTGGGCCAGACTGTAGTCGTAGGACCTGTCTATCTGGCTGAGATCGTGAGTGACACATCTTATTCCCTGTCGAACTGAGTTGACCAGTAATAGGCCCCTGCATCCGTCCGCGGTCTCTGTACTTGTGTCTTTACCGGCTTTGTCTACCTGGGCATTGTGCTCGCCTACTTCACCAACTATGGCTGCCAATTGCATATGGGCGACCACACCCACAAGCGATGGGTAAGACATCATTCACCTTATCCATAGCAGGTTACTGACCCTACGTAGGAAGTTCCAACTAGTCTTCACATCATGTTCGCCGGTCTCATCTTCCTCCTCTCCTTCGTGCAATATGAATCGCCTCGCTTCCTCGTTAAGAAAGGCAAGCCCGAAGAAGCGTTGAAGAACCTTGCCCGTCTCCGCAACCTTCCTCCGGACCATGAATACGTTGTGGAGGAGTTTACAGGTATCCAGAATGCCCATCAAGCGGAGATGGAGGCTACAATGGGTGCTGGCTGGTTAGGTATTGTCAAGGAGGCCATCATGGTCCCTAGCAACCTGTACCGACTGTACCTCGCCGCCATGGCGCAGCTACTCTCCCAATGGTCCGGAGCGGGATCCATCACGCTGTACGCGCCGGATCTGTTCAGTCTCCTTGGCATCACAGGATCCAACGAGTCACTCCTAGTGACAGCAGTGTTCGGTATCGTCAAGCTGACCGCGGCGGTAATCTGCGCTCTGTTCCTGGTGGATGTAATTGGCCGCAAACGCGCCCTACTCCTAGGTATCACGTTGCAGGCTATTTCCATGATCTACGTCGCTAGCTTCCTTACTGCTGTGCCGGAAATGGGCATCGTCGATGACTTTGTCCTGCCCGAGTCAAAGAGGGGCAGTAGTCGCGGAGCCATTGCTATGATCTACATCTCCGGTGTAGGCTGGGCATTGGGCTGGAACTCCATGCAGTACCTGCTGACAGCGGAGCTGTTCCCGCTACGTATCCGCGCTTTGGCTACCTCTGCTGCTATGACCCTGCACTTTGTCAATCAGTATGGTAATTCCCGGGCGGTACCAAACATGTTGCTGGGTACTGCGGAGGGTGGCATCACCCCCAAGGGCACGTTCTGGTTCTTCTCAGCAGTGACGGTGCTGGGTGGACTGTGGGTGTGGTTCAGTGTGCCTGAGACAGCAGGACGAAGCTTGGAGAGTATGGACCGGTTGTTCGCACTGCCGTGGTATCAAATCGGACGGCATGGCAACCGTGATGCCGACCAGCAGGACCAGGTGGTGGCGGATAAACAGCAGCAGGTGGAGGATGGATTTGGAGGGGCGGAGCATCGCGAGCGGGTGTAACTGTTGCTTGATATGTTACTTAGCTTAGGACCTTGATCTATATGAATTAAATGCAATTGACGAAGCACATTGACCAGATGGATACCCTGTAATGAAAGCAATAGCTGACCGCTTGTGCATCCCCATGTGCATCTCAGCCCGCCAACTGGCGTGTCGGAGAGCTCCGATGTTATCTATGATTGGCTGGCAGCCCCGCTAGCCCGGTCAGATGACAAGCACTGTGTCATCCCTATCTCAACTGTTCAGCTCCTTCTCCTCCCTCCTTGCATGGTTTTTTTCCTTTCTTGTTTACTCTGTTCCATTCTCATTCATTCATTGACAGTCGTTAAATATCTTGTCGATCCCCCCTCGTTCGTGGTTGTGCCATTGACTCCCTCACCGCCGATCCCAAAGGACAGCTTCCACATAGCTTCCCCTCACGATGACTACCCGCTATCGTGTTGAATGTAAGTTGATGGTCCTTTTATTTTCCATTGGCTCATCTAATTAACCTCGCAGATGCTCTCAAGGTAGGCAGTCATCTCTGCTGCCAGTTCATGCTAACTTGCTCAGTCTCACCGTCGAGACCAATTGGTACTTCCCATTCCCTGTTCCTATTAGCATAGGACATGACTAACAAGTTCCCAGATTGAATGGATTAAAGTACGACTCCTGCCAACCATTAATTCAAATACCTCAATACTAAACAATGTAGGGCCTCCTGGCCGTCCCCTTCGTGCTGCACTCGCAGCCCACCGCCGTCTACAAGGAACACAGTGAGAACCTGATCGCCGTAGCGGCCGACACGCACCAACGCTATGCGGAGATCTTCCGCGACGTGGAGATGCTCATCCGCGACCACAGTAGCTTTCCCATTCTCTCTTAATACATGGACAATCGCAACTGACAAATACAGTAACCCACCAAGAAGACGACGCCCCGGGGAAATCCAAACTCAAACTCCTAGTCCCCACCGTAGGCACCTTCTTCACCCCCTTATACCTGGTCGACGCCTTCCGCCACCAAGACGCCCAACGCTTCATCAGCCGCCGACGCTTTGTGGCCCCTTCTTTCAACGACATCCGTCTCATCCTCAACTCAGCCCAACTTCTCGGCCTGGCCCGCACCACCGGCGTCGACCTCGTCACCTTCGACGGAGATGTCACTCTCTACGACGACGGCGCCTGTCTCACGGACGACAACCCCGTGATTCTGCGCATTATGCGACTCCTCCTGCAAGGACAGAAAGTCGGCATCGTCACGGCAGCGGGCTACACCGACGCCGCAAAGTACTACGAGCGACTCAAGGGGTTGCTCGATGCGATGTACGAGTCAACCGAGATGACAGATGCCCAGCGCGCCGGACTGGTCGTCATGGGCGGAGAGAGCAACTTCCTCTTCCGGTATGACCATGCCTCCCCCTCGAAGTTGAGTTATGTGCCCCGTGAAGAGTGGCTATTGGAGGAGATGAAGACGTGGCAGGAGGGGGATATCACGCAGTTGTTGGATATTGCCGAGTCATCGTTGCGCGCGTGCGCGAGTAATCTCAATCTGCCGGTCGCGGTGTTGCGCAAAGATCGCGCGGTCGGAGTGTATCCCACGGAGAGAGGGAGGATTAGTCGCGAGCAGTTGGAGGAGACGGTGTTGGTGGTGCAGAATACCGTCGAGCGGTCGGAGGTGGGGGCTAGATTGCCCTTTTGTGCTTTTAACGGTATACTTTCCCCCTCTACTTTAATGTAGGTAATGGTTATACTGATGCCTATTTAGGCGGCAATGATGTGTTTGTGGATATTGGTGACAAGTCATGGGGTGTGCGCGCATGTCAGCGCTACTTTGGGGGGATTGAGCCGGCGCGGACACTGCATGTTGGCGATCAGTTCTTGTCGGCGGGAGCGAATGATTTCAAGGTATCCCTATTCCTTATAATTTGAATACTATGCTGGATGCTAATAATAACAGGCCCGACTGGCATCGACGACAGCGTGGATCGCAAGTCCCGCCGAGACAGTGCAGCTCCTGGACGAGCTGCAAGGGATATAACCAGGGTATTTAATAATTTAGTAGTTACTTAAGATTATGTGAGAGTAAGAAAATAGTAGTTAATCTTACTGCTCCATCGGCACCATACCAATAGTTAGTTGAGTTGTGCAGATCGCCCGGGCGCTTATCAAGCAGCGGGAATGTCTGACAAACTCTCAAAGTATAAGAATTCACTAGCAGTAGCCACTACTACTTGAATCTACTTTAATCCCAAGTATTTATTTACATCCTTCCCTTTCATCACATACCACCACACCAACTACCTAAGTAATTAATCCGGTATACCACAACCCACAATGACCAATCCCGAAACTACATCAACAATAACAATCCCCATAATCGGCGCCTCCATCACCGGCCTCACCACCGCCCACTCCCTCCTCTCGCACTTCACCACACCCAACAATACCACCAAGAACAAGGGCCCAAAAATAAAAATCCTCCTCATCAACCCCACCCCAAGCTTCTACTGGGCCATCGCGGCCCCGCGCATCCTCACCAAACCAACTGCCTTCACAGAGTCACAATACCTCATCCCGATCGCCGATGGATTCGCAAAGTATTCTCCGGATGTCTTCGAATTCATCCTAGGGAGAGCAACCTCTCTTGATTTCGAGAATAAGGTACTAAATGTTGAGGAAGTAACCGACACTGAGAGTACTAAGACACTGAGAGAAATCAAATATGATTACCTCGTTCTCGCATCGGGGAGTACGCCCTCTGCTTCGTCAACGGAAACATTATTCCCTGGTGAGGATGGGGAGAAGGAAATATACCCATTCAAACTATCCCCCACTTCTACCACCACCATCACGGAGGCGATTAAATCCGCCCAGACCACCATCTCCTCCGCAAAAAGAATCACCGTCATCGGGGCTGGCCCTATTGGTGTCGAAATAGCAGGAGAATTGGGTGATCTCATCACCCCCTCTTCTCCCTCCTCTTCTTCCGAAGGAGAATCGAGGAAAGAAATAACCCTCATCTCCTCCACCCCACGCATTCTCCCGACCCTAAAACCCTCCGCCAGCGAGACAGCCACATCCCTCCTCACTAACAAAGGCGTGCGCGTTCTAACAGATCGGAAGGTCATTTCTGTTTCCTCTAAAGAACAGGGGGGTTATGAACTCAAGCTTAATAACGGGGAGACGCTCGAGACAGATATCTACATCCCGACTATCGGAGTCCTGCCTAATAGTTCTTATATACCCCGCGAAGTACTCGATGAACGGGGTTGGGTGAGGGTTGATTCGGAATTAAAGGTGGAGGGGGTGGAGGGGGTGTATGCGGCGGGGGATATAACCACTCATACGCAGAAGCTGTCGTTTAAGGCGGATGAGATGGCTGGGGTGGTGGTGGGGAATTTGGTAGATGATATTGGTAATATTAATGGTGTTGGGAAGGGGGGTAAGGGGAGGGGATGGTGGAGATGTGGTGGTGGTGGGAGGAAGACATATGATGAAGGTAATGATGTGATGATGGTGGTTCCTGTGGGAACTTCTGGCGGTACGGGGCAGGCGTTTGGGTGGGTGTTGGTCAGTTTTATGGTGTGGTTGGCCAAGGGGAGGGATTATTTTATTTGGAAGGCTAAGGGGTATGTGTTTAAATAGACTACCTTTACTGTGTACTGCTATCATTCAAATGTTACTTTGTATTGTACTTAATTCGGTATGCTCATAACCTTTCATCATCATAGCCTGACTCTATGTCTAGGCGTTTATCGCTGCTTTCTGCGCTAAACATTCTCGTAGCAACTCCACGTCGCATTGTTCACACTCGCCCGGCCAGACAGAATGTTCACCGTGTCCTGCAGCTCCAGCCAGAACTCCGTCTTGGGCCGGCGGCGAGCCCAATCCGTCTCGGTCGCTTCCAGTCCGTTCGCTCCGCCCATCGGCGAGAACAACACCTGCGAGCCCTTGATGCCAATGACCGATGCAGACAACTCATCGGCAGCGATCTCGTCCGCAGACTTGCCTGCATAGCTCTCCAGGTGCAGCATACACTTGGTGGCCATCCGCAGCGCCCGGATACGGTCCATCGGCGACGGCTTGCCACCCTGCTGGAAGTGTCCCGGCACCGCCGCACGGCTCTCGAAGCGTCCCTTGGCCTCCTCCTTGATCATGTCGGCCACCACCTGCGTCGTGTAGGTGCTGGACGCGCACTCGTTGCGCAGGATGATCTTACCCGCGCGGTTCGCTCCCTTGTCGCGCGCAAAGTTGTCACGCAGGAAGTCAATGTCGCGGGCCAGCATTTTAATGTCGATGCCCTCCTCGGGAATGTACACGGCCACCGCGCCCACGGACAGACCAGCCGTCGTGGCGATGTAACCCGATTTGCCACCCTGCGTCTCGATGACGAACACACGGCGACGAGAAGACGAGGCCGACTGGCGGATGGCATCGCAGAAGTCGATGAGTGTGTTAAGGCAGGTGTCGCTACCCAGCGAGTATTCTGTGCCCGGCACGTTGTTGGAAATAGTTGCCGGCAGCACGGTCATGGGGATCTTGAACTCGGGGTACTTCTTGCGCGCCTGACGAAGCTGGCTGACGGCGGTGAATGCCTCAAATCCACCCACCACGAACAGCGCGTCAAAGCCAAACTTCTTGAAGCTCTTGGCTGTCGTCGCGAGGTCATCGCCGGGCAGACCACGGTTGGTACCGATATCCGAACCACCCTCGTTGACCCAGCTGTCCGATTCCTGCCACGCCACCTCGCGCACGGAGCAGATCGGAGTGTCGTCATAGTGCCGGCACAGACCGGGGAAACCGTTGTGAATAGCCAGGGGGGTGTGGCCGCGAGTCAGGCAGTAGGCAACGGCCGCGCGGGTAGCCTGGTTCATACCACCGGCGGGGGCGCCAACGTGGATAATACCGATGCGCATTCTCTGCGAGCTGTTAGCTCAGTACCCAACGATTTCCAATGTGACATACCTTGTTCTCTGGGAGGAGCAGCTTCGGGTGGTCGGGCGTAGAGGTGTTAATGTATGAATAGTGGTACTCCTTGAATTCCGAATCACGGAGGGCCATAGCTTCGGCGAACTCCTTGTTCTGGATGTGCTTGGTGACCGTCTTGGTGTGCTGCACGGCGTCCATCAACGGCATGCGCAGGATCTTGTTCTCGCGGATGGTGATGACCGGGGACGGGGCCCCGGGCTGCATGTCCAGCACCGCGCGGACAGCCTCAACACCCTGCAACGTGGACAGCCAGCGGTCGTAGGCACAGGCAGCACCACCTCTCTGAGTGTGACCCAACACAGTCACACGAGTATCCAGGTTCAACCGCTCCGTCAGAATATCCTTAATCTTCGAGCTCGAAATCTTGTTGAGATGGCGATCCTGGGCACCTTCGGCCACGATAACGATCGTCCTGCGCTTTCCACGCTCCTTTCTGTTCTGCAGGGAGTTAGCGATGTCTCTGAGAGCTCTTCACGAGTCTCTGATCAACCCACCTTGGTGATGATAGCACACATGTCATCCTCCCATCCGTCCTTGGGCGGCATTTCAGGCACGAACAGCCAGTCGGCACCGGTACTGATAGCGGACATCAAGGCCAGCCAACCGCAGTGACGACCCATGACCTCAATGACGAATCCACGCTGGTGGGAAAAGGCAGTATCGAAGACATCGTCGACGGCGTCACAAATGCGAGTGAGGGAGGAGTAACAACCGATGGTAGCGTCGGTACCGGACATGTCGTTATCGATCGAACCCACCAACCCGACGATGTTCAGAATCTGGTATGGCTTGACCTGCTCTTCGGTCAATTCGCCCGTCTCGACCAATTCCTTCAACAGACCGGGCCACTCGGAACGGAATAGGTCGGCACCAGTCAAACTGCCATCACCACCACAGACGACGAGGGCATCAATGCCACGGAGGACCATGTTCTTGGCAGCGCGCAGACGACCGGGGCGCTCACGGAAGGTCATGCAGCGGGCGGAACCGATCAAGGTACCACCGCGGGACAACCAGCCGCGGACATCCTCCCAGTGAAGCTGACGGATCATGTCGCCGCCATTGACGAGACCCTCGTAACCTTCGTAGACGGCGAAGGCCTCACAATCGGAGTGGATGGCCATCCGGACGACAGCCCGGACGACACCGTTCATACCGGGAGCATCGCCACCAGAGGTCAAGACACCGATACGGCGTCTCTTGGGCGGTTGCACGGGAGCTTGGGTGGGAGCCATCGTGCGATGGGATTATGTGGGGGAGGGTGTTCAGCAATTGTTCGGGAAGAGCAACAGCTGAACAAGAAGGTTTTTAGAAAACAAAAGCTGGAGAAGAAAGAATGGAGTAATGGAGAGAAGAGGAGAGGCAAAGAGATAACTAACTTGTGTTTGAAAGGGTGGGGGAGAAGAGCAGCGCAGGTGCCGGTGAGAAAAAGCGGGTGTGGGCAACCAGTACGTCACTGACTCCGGCCGTCACTGCCCCGCTATACAAATACCTTTATTATTTGTTCCTTTTGTAACTAAAGTAAACTGACTGCCCACCACGGGGGAGGAAAATTCCCTGGTCTGCAGGTGAATGGGCTAGATGCTTGTCGAATGCTGATCGGCCGGGTGACCTTGCTGCACGCTGCAATGGGCAGATGCTACTCCAGTAATAATAATATTTAATAGCAAGGAATGTTCTTCCTCCGGCCATTTCCTCTTTCGGTCTGCAAAACCACACCTGATGTCACCGCCTCTGCTGGATCGGGACTAGTGCGGGACAATTCACGTGATATATGGGTTAGGGCCCGTACTGCACGTGATAGCTATACACGCTAGTCCCATTCAGGCAGACACGCCCCTAATCCCTCGTCGCTGATTGAACGATGCTACCAGCTATACAATACTTACCTGGGTATTGTTAAGGAGACAGGTGGCATGATAAAGACTCCTTCTGCTTCTTTCCTATCACCTCACTACCCCTGCAAAGGGATGGGTGCATGCTATCTGGACATTTACTCAAGCATGATGTTACGCTGAAGTACTTCCACTGCCGGACCCCTGTGGTCCACCCCCAATGCCCGGTTTGGCGGTGGAGATATGACAACATAGTCACCTCCAGCTACAGAGTGCCGCTCTACAGAGTACTGAGTGCAATCATATACTGTGTACTGTTTCTTATCTATCGCCTGTACCTTCGAACCCGGGGCACGATGATTCATAGGCTGGATGCTGCAACACACTCGACAGTGGCACTATCCCGCCGAGACCGTGGTGCAACACTAGTGACACGATTCGTACACAGCAAGTGGCGCGGTCTATCTCTACCCCTGTCTAAACAGCCTCGCAGTATAACCAAACCATCTTTCAGCAAAATTTTTCAGGATCAATGAAAGTGTGGACTATCACAAGATCCATGGCACCACCATATACACCACACCAGACACAAAGCCTTCGCCAGTACTAGGCAAACACCCTGCTAGCTGACACTCGTCCACGCTAACCTGCCATCAGTGCTCGGAGACAAAGACACGCAATTCAGATATGTCTACTAACATTCTCTCTAACATCAGATACCCACACCTTTTCTGCAACCCCATGTCCCTCTTGCTATCATGTGAACATTTCCTCTGGCATCGCACGAACCACACAACCTTCCCATCCCCCTCTTATACCTTCTTGACCAAGCATTCCTCAACGAGCAAGCCCGGCTAGCTCAATCGGTAGAGCGTGAGACTCTTAATCTCAAGGCTGCGGGTTCGAGCCCCGCGTTGGGCTTTACTTTTTGCTTTTGAAGGTTTTTACCTCTCACGGTGTGGTTCGTGATGGGGAAGCATACTATTTTTTTTTCTGGATCCGAAGTTGTGGTGGATCCACCGGGTCCACCCGTGATATTGGCCAATCAGAGATGTCGCTTACCGTCTACTCCAAAAGTGCTCTGTAGGAAGGAAATACAATTTACTTACTTTTTTAATTATTCACACTTACAGGTGAGGTAAAGCTTAGACACTCTGTTTCTATATATGATAGTGGTCATCGTCGGATGTTCTGACGCATAATAAGTCTGCCATGATAAGTAACCCGTTAGTAAATGCCGTGGTGGTACTGAACCATACAGGACGTGATGGTATTGAACTAACTACTACCTGATAAATATATAATCAATCTTAACACCGGGATATTCATACATTCAACAGCCATCACACAGTATTTTAATCCCACTTATATCCTCTTGGTAATTAACTACATACACCCCGCCTCCTCCATTGCCAACTTATTTATATCTCCCCCCCTCGGCTCAAACTTCACCCCCTTCGACAGCTTCGACGCCAAATACAACCAACCAACCGCATTCCCAACCGTAGTATTCGCATCAGACAGCCTCCTAAACCCCGCTCCTGCCTTCCCCCGAGACACCCTATCAACACTAAAAATCCTCAAAATACACCGAGCAATTCCCTCCTCATCCCCCTTGTCGACCAAAATAGCATTCTCCGATTCATGCACAAAAGGAAACAGCTCGGCTTCCCGAACAGCAACGACAGGCGTCCCCTTCTGAATAGCTGCAAGAAGCAACTCAGGGACCCCATGCAAAGTGGATAGCTGAACGAGTGCTCTTGCATTCGTGAGTAGGGTGTTCCACATTTGATCGACGGCTCCGATGGGGATGATGCAGACAGATGCAGATAGAGTCTCGCTATTGTCAATTTGGGACATTGCTGCGTCGTAGAAAACGGTACTTTCGGGGGTTCGGAATGGGCCGCGGTGGCAGATTAGGAGCTTGGGGACTTGGCGGCTTGGATGCTCTTTGGTGTAGATGTCGCAGAACTTGCGGTATGCCTGGAGAAGGCAGAGTGTTCCATCTCCGGGTCGGAATTGGGATAGGTGGAGAATGTATTGTTCTATGTGCAGACTGCTTAGTATGGCTGAGAGGCTGGGCTTAGGGATCTTACCCTCTGGATAGCGTATGATGGTCATCTGAAGCGTTCGGCATAACGAGCTGAACTCACGACCGTAGAAGCCGACGTCCCAATCAGTTAGGGGCTTGTTTTGACCATCGAGTCTATACTGCATCAGCATGCCTGCAAGGCATAGACGGGTGGGAACAGTACTGGTCAATAGAGAACGACATATAACCAACATTCTCCTCCGGCATTATACGCGGCGCAAGTTCCTTAGGGAGTAGCGACACCACCAAGTCCACGTGGGTTAGCCGTGTTCGGATGAAGTCCCATGCTCGGGACTGCGGACTATTGGGATCATTCAGTGACTCTCCCTGGGGCTGGAGACTGCTCTCAAAAATGACTGGCCGCCCAGGATCTTGTTGCTTGGACAGGAGAGCCAATGTTAAGAGCGGTGCACTGTCAATAATCACTACGTCGACGCCTCCCTCCGCACGAGGCCTGAGGGGCCCATTCTCGCACAGCCAGTATCTCCTGGCATTGGAGTATGCAAAGTCGAGGATAAGTAGCTCATCGTTGATGGTGATATCTGACAGGGGATCACCTAGTCCTTCCAAGGTGTCCTGCATCTTTCGAATGAGGGGAATCATTCCTGGACGTGGCTTCGGCACAAACCTGTAAGAACGATGTAAGAATCACAACTAACCGGCTCCAGGATATAAGAGTCATACCATTTAACATGAACCCCAACGCTCTCGGTAAACCTTGACAAGGCATGTCTGGTCGGAACATCAGGCTTGCCTTGACAGGTCATACTGAAGAAAGCGACCTTCACCTCCCTTTCCCTCAGATCCTGGGCAAAATATTGAGCCAAAGACCATGTGGCAGGATCGACTGTTTTCTCGTAGTCTTCCGCACTAGCAAGATGTACATGGTAACCTCTATCGACATCCACTGAACCATCAAAATTTATATGATTGTGCAGCACATGGCCAATACCAAAAGAACTACACAAGTCAGCATTAGCAACTACCACCAAGGCATACTAACCGAATGCACTTCCGCACCATTGAATCGGCTCGCTCGTCGAGCTCCTTTTTATGCCACCCGGCAAACGTCGCCAGCTCGCCCCGGTCATTATGTTGTCTTTCACGGTCCTTATGGTCCAAAACCAACGGGACAATGTCGAGTTCGCTCCAGAGTCGCGAGCATAGTGACGGACATCTATAGACAAGGGATTGGTGCAGAGCAGCGCTGACTATCTTTTCAGCGTGCTTTTCTCTGTATATTTCCAGCTCCGCGATTATGGTGTCGGTTGGGTAGTCTGAAACATTTGGACGCGGAGCGTGCCAATTACACACGAGGAAGTCGACCAGATCTGTCAGATTTCGGATAGCAATTGCAACTCTTCCGCTGGAATTGTCGCTAATAAGCTCTGTAATTCCAGCGTATATAACCTAGACATTGTGTCAGTATCTCGGTGGTATGTCCCTAAAGTGGTGGATCATCACACATTTAGTGGTCTTCCTGACCAGGACTCTGCGTCGAAATGTGAGCTAATGGAACTCATGTCTTATGATAATTAGAACCCTATATTGATCAATTTTATCATGACCGATCATACTCACCATGTAGATCAACAGATTATAACGCTCATATACCCTCTACTATACGTACTTTTGCCTTCCGGATTGCTTTCCGTACAACCCTACATGGGCTGTTGTTGCCGAACGCCGGGCCTGGAGCGGGGAAACTTTCGGCGTCCCAGAGGAACAAAGACGCCCCCTCTCGCCCTGACGCAGAAATGACATTCACCAACACTATTGCTACAACTAGACGATGGCGACCGTATGATCCAGGAGTACAGCATAGCCAGGCATCTCGCTTAGAAGCAACAGTCGCGTATTATCCGGCCGACGACGGCATCAACTCGGAAGGTAGGTGTTGGTTCGGCCGAGTAGGGCCTTCATACATTCCTTGCAACTATCAAGAAGCTGATGATGGAACGAAGTATGCTACTTAGATCTATACTTTCATGTAGCGAGAGAATCATTCTTCACACTAGTGAGTGAATATGGTTGTAGCAGTCCGTTATAATTACTCGACATTAGGATGAGCTATATCCAAAAATCAACAAGCCCACGGAGAAATGAGCAGGCCTTTCCCAGGGCAGCTACGAATGGCCTGAATCTCCAGATGGCCTCGAGGCAAATTACAAACTTTATTACTAGTCAGTGTGCCTGTTCTTTTAGTCACTGGCGAGCCTCTACGTCCTGTGTTGCCTGACATAGCACACAATCGGGCGATTGAAGACTGGCCTTGTTGTTCTTTATGAGGATGAAGCAACTTTGTTATTCAATCTCTCACCAGACTAGCACAACCCTCACATGAATGGGTTCAGTCAGACCCTATGATTTGTCCGTGTGCTCTACATGTGACTTTGCTGGTGCAATTAAATCATGCCACTTGCGGAATACATTATGTGGATCATACTTCCTCTTCAGCTTCTGTAATCGAGGCAGGTTAGGACCGAACAGTTTCTCGGCACTAATGTCATGTCCTATAGACATTAGCAAGAGAGCTCTTTATGCACAGCTTTATCATAGCTACTTACCGGCAAGATTGGGACACGCCACAACCTGATCATCAGGAATGCCTCGTTGCGCTTCCAAGATTTTGGAGATAATGCTCCGTTGAAAAGCATGCATCTTCGCATCCAGCTCAGAGTCATGCCAACATAATAAGAGCTTGGCGCTGTAATAAGACCCTCGATTGGCACACGCGGTTTCTTCAACAGGAATCTCCCCAGTTTTTTTGTATGGTAAAATATCGAACATCAACACGCTGTCTTCCATACGGGGGTACGCATTCATAGCCTCAGCGAGCTGAATGTAAAGATCTTGCAAAAGGCTTGTCTCGAGCGGTCGCATGATGTTTGCACCACTGATGCTTTTGCGGCCTTCTGGCACTGGGTCGACATTAGCAAATGCATTCATCTCTACATACGTCCTCATGCCAGTATGGTTGGTCAGAGGGCTCATCAGAGGGTTCTGATATAGGATGGGGCCAAAAAATATTCCGCCTTGATACGCAGACCCGTCGTAGAAAACCACGGCCCGCAATACCATTTGCTTTTCGACTCGTGAATATGCGAATCCAAAGTAGAAGCCACTGTTCGGATCCTGACGTCTATCGAACTCGTTCGCAAAATCGACAAGCATTGGTAGCCTATCCACATCGTACTCTATCACCCCTCCGAAAAACTCGTCTCGGACTTTATGGGCACGGAATACAAACTCAGTAGCAATACCAAAAGCTTGTCCTGCTCCGCGCATCGCCCAGAATAGGTCCTGGTTATCCTCGTTTGATGCTTCAACAATGGTGCCATCGGCCAGGACCACCTTGACACCCACCAGCTGGTCTGAAATCAGACCGTACTGCCCTGTTAGCCATCCGGAGCCACCTCCTAATGTTGAGCCGCCCACCCCAGCGTGGCTGGTCATGGCGCCTACCACAGCTAGCCCGTAAGGAGCAGTTGAATCATTGACCATATCCCAGGTCGCGCCTCCCTGGACACACACCGTCTCAGAGGCAGGGTCTGTCAAGACCTTGCGCATCTTAGCCAAGCTGATCACCACACCCCCATGCGACGAAGAAGCCCCGGTGGTGGAGTGTCCACCAGCCTCGACCACGAAGTCGATGTGATTCTTCCGGCAGAAGCGGACCACCTCGGCCACCTCTGCTGTGCTTGCTACACGTACAACGGCACCCTGTGCTTGGTCAGAACAATATTCAAGCGATCCGGAGGAGAGAGAAAGTAGTCACATACAGCTTCTTTTTCGCAGGTGTCACTCCATCGCCGAATGCTCGTCGCATAATCATCGCACCCGATACAGATAACCTCAGCTCTAGTTCCTTGCAATTGCCTCCTCAGTTCCAGCGCACGGGCATATGACAGGAACGGCATGGCTGAGATTTTGGTTACACGACCTCGGTTGGTTCACCGTGGAAATCATCAAATCGACAAGAGATTTGTAGCCCCGACCATACAGCAGGAGATGGGAACCGACTTATCTGCATGTTCTGTCAAGTGCCAACAGACGGTCGCTGTTTCGCTGGTAGATGAGAAGACCTACATAGGTGACATGGAAACGCCTCCAAGCTGGCCACTAGGACGTTCAAATCTTCTACAGTCGTGCAACGTATCAACTGCTTGACGCAAATCATACGATTTGACGGCTTTTTCATGCCGCATCCCCGACGTTCCATTAGACGTGGCTGATCCCGCCATGGATGGCTCTGCCTAGATCACGAAGCTGCACAACTTAAGGTTTCCCCAACCGCGGGCCCTTCCCACACGTGGGGGGATCTGCTAAATAGCTCTCCTGGGCTGACGAAAATGGAAGACACCTTCCGGCCAATAGTCATAAATACCATCCTTTGGGTGCACCGATTATGCTGTTTGTACTCCGGTTTCTCGTGATACTGCATCCCGTCTCATGACAGTCGGTTCTTCGTGATGATATCATGACACTGTGGCTTCTGAGCACTCCAAAGTATTGCAACCACTTCCCACTGATATCCAAACCTGCTCAGTACATAGTCTACGATTCTACAGGTTATTCTCACACAGATAATTAGTTCCCTTGTATCTTTTTAAATCATCGACCTACAACAACTAAGGATAAGAAGTAATCAATATAGTCAACATGAACCGCGGTAACGGATTGAAGCGGGATCCAAAAACCACGCAGGCCTGGCTCATAGGCAGTGGAATATCATCACTGGCCGGTGCAGTCCACCTCATTCACGATGCGGGTGTTCCTGCAGCGAATATCCATATCCTTGACGTGCACTCCCACGCAGGTGGCGGCATCAAAAGTTGCGGCGACGCAGAGAACGGTTACGTTCTGTACACTGGAAGTCTGCCTTACTTCCATGATCGATGTGTAGAGCACCTTCTTTCCCTTGTTCCCAGCACCGATAATCCAAAGCAGTCACTCCTTGATAGCATTAAGGAGTTGGACCGGGCAACCTCTCCCAAACGGGCAGCGCCAACACGTCTCATAAAACATGGAGATAAAGGCCCAGAATGCCTCCACTCCAAGCATCTCCAGATTGGACCGAAGTATCGAATGGAACTGATCAAATTGATGCTTGAGAATGAGCGTATGCTCGGAGAGAAAGCCATCCAGGACGTCTTCGATGAAGCATTTTTCAAGACTAACTTTTGGACGCTATGGTCTACTACGTAGGTTGATACAACGATTTCCCACTGTTACAAGGCTGATGGTATACAGCTTCGCTATGCAGCCATGGCACAGCCTGGCAGAGTTCAGAAGATGTCTTTGCAAACATCTGGCCGAAATTGAACGCCTGAATGACGTGAAGGCTCTGGATCGAACTAAGTATACAATCTACGAGTCAGTTGTTATGCCAATTGAATCATATTTGAAATCGCAGGGAGTCGACTTCCACTTCAACGCAAAGGTCACAAGCCTGCAGATGAACCCGAAAGAGGCCCAAACTACCGTCTCCGGGATCATTCTCAAAGATAACGGCGAACAGAAGACCATCGACGTGAGGCCCGAGGACCTTGTCATGGTTACCCTTGGATCAACAACTTCTGCAACCGAGAGGGGATCGAACGACAAGGCCCCGAATCCTGTACCCCAGCATAGCAAAGAGTTCCTGGATGATGACTGGGGCCTGTGGATCGACCTAATGCAGGCCTCTACGGATTATGGAAACCCGTTCAACTTTCACAACAACGTTGACCAGTCGACTCTAGAGTCTTTCACAGTCACCCTCCGCAACAGCGACTTTATGGAACGCTACGAGAAACTAACCAACAACAAACCCGGCACGGGGGCTCTGCTTTCCTTCTCCGATAGCAACTGGGGCCTTAGCATCAGCGTTCCGCGTCAGCCCGTGTGCTCTGACCAGCCCTCCTCCGTCGATGTATTCTGGGGCTATGGATTGCATCCCGAGAAGACTGGAAACTTTGTCCACAAGCCCATGTGTCATTGTTCTGGCAAGGAGATTCTGACCGAGGTGCTATCCCAGCTAGGAATGCCAGTGGATGACATACTCCCGAACTCGATCACGAAGCCTGTTCTGATGCCCATGGCCACGGCACCACTGATGCCCCGTCGTCATGACTTCCGCCCTGAAGTCATGCCTTCCCAGAGCAAGAACTTGGCCTTGGTGGGACAGTATGTTGAGATTCAGGATGATACGACTTTGAGTATGGAGTACAGCGTGCGCGGTGCCCAGATGGCTGTGTTCTCAGCTATGAAGCTGAACAAGCATCCTCCCAAGATTGAACGACACCTCTTGTTATCTGTTTTTGATTTGCTTGGAGGCGCTTAGTCGATACCTTCCAAATTAGGATCAGTGAAGTACTTGTCTATCGCTGTATTTCTTCATGGTTACTGCGCACTCTTTACCCAAGCAAACTGTATCATGTCTGTCATTGTCATTGCAAATATCGCTCAATATCCCATGCTCCTACTTAATGTGACATAACACCAGACTGACCAAATACCAATCCCATTACCAATCAAACCCCTCCCTTTCTACCATTTATCATCCTCATCCCACACCTCCTCCGCAAACGAACACCTCCCAGCCTTACACCCCTCACACAACTCCCTATTATGCGGCTTGGTCCTCTTCCTCTCATCATAAGCAGGCCTCTCCACATCAACCCCATACCACTTCTTCATGCGATACGCAATCCTCTCCGCATAGCTATCTTCATCCAAAAACGGCCGACTGAGCGAATTACACTTCTTACAACGCTGATGATACACCCGTGCATTGTACTCGTCGTCTGGGTACAGCCGGATCGTAATGGCGATCTTCTTGCTCGTCCAGCCGGTTGACGTGCACGAGTCGTTCGAGCAGACGAACCGGCCCATGATGTTCGTGTCGTATTCTTTTTTGCTGCTGCTGGCGTCGTCGAAGGGGTGGAAGGTTAGCGAGGTGATTGGGAGGGAGGAGCTCAGGTGGTTGAGGACGTCGCTGTGAAGGGCTGGGTACATGGACCAGCGGTTGCGGGGGAGGTTGGATTTGGGGTTGGATTTGGGGTTGGATCTGGATTTGCGGGAGGGCATGTTGGATGGGTGTAGCTTTTGGTGAGTGTATGGAGGTGATGGCTGCTGATGATATTTTTGGAGGGGATATTCAGGTTGATTGAATGTATTGGCAGGCTCAGGCAGAAGCGGGGTGTATTGGGTAGTTGTGAGAAGGCATGTGATGTGCTTGAATCGCATGGGTGTTCCACCTATAGGTATCTCTCTCCGGCTGTAGTACCGGGGTAGCTAGGTTTCGCATATGATTGGCTTGATCATAATTATGTTTTCGTCCAATTTAGATGCATAATACCATGTAACTGTATAGGACAGTGAGGTATAACATATGGAAGGCGTTACTGTTCACATAATCACATATTAGGTATGCTGAAGCATCTTAGGATATTATACTTATCGAGTTGGCTATCGCCGATGACGCTGCCACCGGTTATGCCTTATGAAGAGTGGCCTGAGCAATGTTTAGACAATGAGAGCCATCAGTCTTGCCCATACTACGGCAAGTTCTATGTAAATAAAGCTGGTGATGTGTATGAAGCAATTGAGACCCTAAAGTGAAATATATCCAATGGCACTATATCCATAAGGATTTCTTCCTGAGGCATAAATAAAGACCCACCATACACACCAGTCCATATCCGGACTAGCCCCTAGCTCCAGAGCAGTCACGTGCCTCCTACCAGCCATGCGATCATCCGTCACCATCACTCCATTATCAAACAACAATACACCTTCAACTCAACCTGCCCTCCGGCAGCGGACCACAACCATGGCCGACTCCTTCAGCCTTCCTCTGCGCCCGCTCACGGAGAAGCCCGACCGCCCCGACACCCTCCCAATCGAGATCGCCCAAATCAACGCCCGATGGGGCTCCTTCCGCGACGTGAACGAAGAGACATTACTTGCCAAGATCGAAGAGGACAAGAACAAGGACCCATGGGAGGAGGAAGACGAGGAAGATAAACCCGCCGAGGACGTGGACTCGACTGAGCGTCTGGAAACATTGTACAAGCGGCGGGCCGAGATCTTGCAGTTCGCTATGTAAGTAGGTGTCTGCTGTTGGCATAAGTGGGCATTGGAGCTAATGGTTTGCTGCGGGTGAAGGCAGGCGCATATGGAAGCTCTGTTCGCTTTGGATTTCGTTTCGCTTTTGCTTTCGAAGCATACCCCTCGTCAAGCGGAGACTTCTATGTCGACGTTCTTGAAGCAGGTTGCGCCGCTGGGGTCCTTGAATGCGGAGATCGTAGAGCCGCCGCCGAAGTCGGAGGCCGCTGTGCAGGATGTTAAGACTGTGTCGCGGGGTTGGAGGGCGCAGAACTTCAATGCTGCTGCGAATAAATTGCTCAATTCGGCGACACGACTGGAAGAAGAGGTCGTTTCGGAGACGAAATACTGGGATGAGGTCCTGGCGGTTAAGGAGAAGGGATGGAAGGTCTGCAGGTTGCCTCGCGAGAGAACTGCGCTGGGAGTACAATATGGGTTCTTGGAAGGTAGGATTGCTACTTGCTTACGGTGGATTGTTGCTAATTGCGTTGTATAGCCACGCCTATATTCCGCGACCGGGGTCTTGCTGCTCTACGGAGGGCTGATAATGGAAGTTTGATACTGGATAAGGGGCTGGCGCCGCAGAAGACGAGGACGGTTCGAGTGCGTGTGAAACACCGCGGCCAAATTACGGGATGCTCGAAGATGCCGGATCCGATCCCCGATGCGGCTTCGGTTGAGCGCACGATCTTGCAGGCTCGCGACACAGTCTATGAGGAGGAGCTATTCCATGAACTGATGCGCGAAGCACGTATTATGGGAAGTCATGGTGTGACGACTCGGCAAAACCTGGTCCGTGTACCGATATCCGAAGAGCAAGAGATCTTGCTGGATTTGGTAGATGCCGACCGTGAAACGCCCGACGAAGACAAGATCGAGTCGACAGAACACGACGTCCTTGCCAGTGGGCTTTCACACTCTATTAGGATCCTGCTCGCGTATGCACACCGTCAGAACCTGCGACGCAGAACCCAACCACCGCCTCCGCTCTCCCAGAAACGTCGACATACCCCCGAGTATCAGCTCTTGCGCCCCGTCATGGCGTATCTCCAACACAGCTCGCACGTCAGATGGCTGGAGTCCTTCATGAATGATATCTACCGGGTTCTCCGCGCGGCAGGGGTCGCGCGTGATTTCCACGCCCTGCCTTTTGCGTCTGTCAGCCTCCCGAAGGTGCAGGCTGTCCCGAAGGTAGAGAGTCTGGTGCAACAGTTCCTGATGCCCTTCGAATCGACATTTTCCGGCCATCTGATTACCCCTCAGAGCTCTTTCCGCGTGAAAATCCGTACCAACCCGGTATCACCGCCTTTTGGCACCCACTACGACATTTCCATAGACCTTCCTCACCATCCCGAAGTGCAGCCTCCCAGTCGGATTGGGTTGCAGAATGAAGCAGCCGCAGCTCTCATGCATTTCGTGAAATTGGACATCGTGTCGGCCATCGCGCTTCAAGGCTCGAAGACGGCCAAAAACACCAAGAAAGAGGGCGCCGAGGGAGATAAGCAATTGACCTGGGAGGCGGCATACCCACACCACGGTGAACTGCTGGCATTATCGAACACTGGCCAAAGTAAGAAGCTGAAGATTAGCTTGTCGCGGGAGGAATTGAAGGTGGAAACATTTCCGCTTCGAGGGCTTGAAGGGTTTGGCCGATCCGGCGCCACCAAGGCACCGAGTTTACATTCCCAGACATGGACATCGGACCAGACAGCTTCTAAGCCTGGCTTGATGGAGTTTGTGGCTGAGGTGTCGCGGGAGCAGTCATAAGCAGCTGCCGTCCCGTATGCTGAGCACGTAGGAATATCCCTCAAGATAGAATCGGAGCATGTGGCGAACTCCTGGATAGATAGGTGTTTTATGTATTGATACCCATGACAAATTATTCCAATATCTGGCACAAATGTTTGACTTGTCCACAGTTCCATGAAACTAACCTACTTGTTTGAAATAGCTAGGATGACCGCCTGACGGATTCGGAGACGCGGGACGAGGGAATGTTTTCACGTTGTGCATTCATTCACATTGAAGCCATATGCGCTGTCTAGACTAATTAACGTGTGCCAGTGACACAGCGACATAAAGACAAGCAGGGGAAGAGAATCAAATGAGTTCTAGTTGAGCGTCCAACTAGATCTATGCCATTGGTGTCCGGTAGGTTGGCAGCAACTCTATTCTCACTAGCCTGTACCAGAATGCTCCTTACCGTGGAATAGCGCTATGACGCCTCTGACAAGGCGATCAAGCCAACCAATGAGGGTCCGAGGTGGAGCTCAAAAGGTACTAGTATATCCATAGTGACCAAAATATGGGGGTTTGCCCGAATTGAAGCGCCTACCGATTAATCTGCGTATTCGCTAATAGAAATCATAGAAGAGAGCATAGTAAAGATAAGCCAGACCGTGGCGGCAGTGCCCGCATGCTTTCCACAACTACAATGATAATGTCCCCCCAAGACCAGAGCGTTAATATTTCCCAACTGCACAGGCTCTGGAGAAGTACAGCGTCGATTTATTCCCTACCATCTGACACAAAATGAACTTTACTGTATCTGTTCATTCAGCCAGGGATCTTTGAGGAGCTCCTTTGCCGTCTTCCTGTCCTCTGGGCGCCACTGGAGCATCCCCCTCATGAAATTCAGAAACATCTTCTTATTCCTGCCTTCGAGAAACTCTTCTGATTCCTCTAGACCCCCTGTCTGCGGTATTGCTATATCTTGTTTCCATTTCCCTGCTCGAACTTGTGTAAGTCCCCCATGCTTTGACAAGGTACACAATTATGACATACCGTCTTCGTTGAAGAATTCATGACTTCGTTTTCCACGCTTGATCATATCTAACGGGGGAGGTCCTATGAGACCCATCACCTCTGCCAGATGCGCACGGGTAGAGTACCCTTTCCCGTCGGGGTCATTTCCATAGAACATATGCTTGCCCTCAAATAGATCCCATATCTAGTGATTCCGTGTTAGTACTCGCACGGCGACAACGACAATTATAAGGAGAGCTATCGACAGCCAAGAAGAGCATAGCGTACCATAACACCCACGTTCCATATATCAATGGGATAACTCCACTCAGTCATCAACATCACTTCCGGCGACCTGTAAACATTGGGCTGGGCATCATGATCTTGCTTCTCATCGCCTCGTACCGCAGATCCAAAGTCACTCAATACTGCGCGTCCGAAAATTTTGGGTAGTTCGAATCGCCGCGAAGCATACACCGGTGCGCTATTTACAAATTTGCGGGGAGAGGGACTGTCCATTTCAGCTTTGGTAAATGCTTCAAGTATGGAGCTGTCTGCAATTTCTTGCAAAATGTTATCGCTCTTGATATCTTCTCAGTCGTCAGTATTCGTATCATTCATAATTAAAGGGGACTTATGTACCTGTATGAACAAGCTTGCATTCAGTGTGCAGGTAATCCAGTGCAAGGAATATCTGCATGAGACCGGCTTTGAGTAAATCCTCGGTAAACCGATGTGTGGGATTCCGATAAAGCAGATGGCGGAAGCTCTCCCACATGGGCTGCTGGACAAGACAGTGATGATTGCCTCCATTACGAGGAATGGTGAATAAATCCAGAGCTGTTCTCACGTGCGCATAGCCAGGGTGGGATGACTTGTGCTCCTTCAAGTGATTATAGATCTGGAATTCCTCTGCATTGTCTTCATCCCGAGTATAAACTTTCAGTGTCACATATCGATGGCCCCTGGCTGCATTAACACATCATGGCTTGTTACAATCATGAGAACTGCTCGGTAGATCAGACTTACTCGAGATCACGTGCAAGCCAGACAGTTGAAGTAACGCCAAATCCCAGCTTGCCAACCACTTGGTACTTGGAGGCGAAAACTTCCCCGATATTCACTGGATAATATTGCCCCTTCTTGAATCCATCGAATCGCTCCTCGTCAAGTATTTCCGACGCAGGGATCGTCTCCCATCCGCTGGTCGGGAAACACATAGGAGGGGATGGAGCCCTCCGGAAAGAGTTTCTGACCAACCTTAATAGCGACGCCATTGGGAATTACACAAGAAACAGAGTCATATAACGCTTGTGCAAGACCTCCATGGAATTGACGAGGAGGATGTGAGGATGCATGTAGTTGCGGGTTAGGCTATTTATGGCATGTGATGACTAACCCACCTCACCCATATCATTCTAACTGTTTCAGGTAGTCTGGTCGGATATCGCTATCCCTAGCATATAGCATGCGTTCATCTGGCTGGGCCTGTCCTCGGCGCTTAGCTGGCTCGCCTGCTTCCGCTATATCTCATTTCATTACGCAAGTGCTGTCGCTGGGTGCGGACACCGTATACCTGTAACTGGCTCTATTGGCTAGGCGACGCGCCGCCCCATCTATGCGTCAGTCGTGATAATGTTCGCCTCCATCTCAGCGACCACTGTTAACCTTGCACACAAATAATTCGGTCTACTTAGCGCCGGTGTTACAGTTTTGGGAGGCACTGAGCATGGAAGAACTGGGGTTGGTTATCTGCGCCCTAAGGTTACCGCCCGAGTGCAAGGCTGTGAAAGCCGCAAATAAAGGAGATGCCATGGCCTACCATCAGCACCTGACTGGAAAGTTTATGAATCACGCCAATTGCACACGATAGGCCCTCGTGCGCGCCCATCCCGCCAGCTAAGCGCGAGGATCGCTACCCATGAATATTTTGATTCCGAGGCTGATAGAATCGAAAGCGGGCAATTCTATGAATGTGGCATGCAACAGCCAGATTATTGAGACCATCGTCTAATGTATTGGATCAGAGTAACCTAGGACTCGAAATATGGGTTTCAGCCTTTTGATTACTTCTAAGATTAGGTCAAGGCAGACAAAGTTATACGATTGGAATCGCAAGATGCGCCTACAGGAAAGGAAGGCTTGCTCTATTATCTTGAAGGAAGTAGAAGCTGAACCGATCGCTGCGCGAAAGAAGAGCATAAATTGGGCACCATCACCCTCCATAATTCCCAGTAGATAAGAATCCCGGAATCAATTTTCAAGCTTCACACATCAGTTCCAATTATACTTCATTCAAGCCCCCATTTCATTGACAAAGCTCTTGTTCGACTGTGGCTGTCACCATGTCTAGGCTTTTCAGTACAACAGTCCGGACCCTTCTTGAGTGGACTGGATTTGATAGGCACAGGCTATCCGACACCTGGAAGGCTGCTGTGGAAAAGTTTACCCAGCCTGGTGGTGGTGCTGAATCTGTGAGTACTCCTCTTTTGGCTAGTCTAAGAGAATCATCTACTGATTAGGGATATCAGAGACTCGGAAAAATACACTCCGTCAACATCAAGCAGGTATTCGCCGGACTTGCAATGGTACCCATCTAACTAGCTGACAGGTCCCGCGGCGACAACCCTGTTCATCAATCTCACTTCAATCCTGCAGATAAAGAATGGGTCATCAGTGCGGAAATTGTTGGCACAAGGGCCAAGAAGACATGCCATATCTATGCAGATGGATCAGGCACGACCAAAAAGGGGGACATCAGGCGTTAAAACCTGCAACTGGTTGAATGTTGGAATTCAATGCTGGTAGTGTTGATTGTGGTGTAAAGCTCCTGAAGCACTGTTGTTTGATATCATGGACGGTTATAGTTACTTCTCGTTAGCAGTTTTCATTGTCTGTTAGTCATATTCTTGTGCAGGATTTTTGGATATTCGCATATTGCTTGTGACTGGAGTCCAATCCTCGGACTCAACTTGTGGAAATTTGTATTGCTGACCCTTATGCAACTGATTTATTTGGTATATGAAGCTGAACACGCGCCAGCGAGCCATCTCCATAGTTCCATAGACTGCATTTGTGCCACACTCTCTCTACACGTTCAGATGATGTACCTGCCTGCCTGTCTTCTAGTGCCATAGAATACCAAAACCTTGCATGTTCATTCTAATTATCTCATGGCTGTCTGCGAGAATAGACATCTCGTAGCAGCGCCACATCTCGGAGCTAAGAGAGTTCGTTGGTAATTGGCGTGTCTTACAATATTGGGCAGATGTTGATGTCCTGCCTTTTTAGTGGCCACGTTATAGTGGGCCGCTCCTAACAACCAGCTCAGCTTTCCTTAACTGATGGCACAATTATGTACGGTTAGCTATCCCCAGCATTCCAAGAATGACCAGATGACCGTCACATACGTGGAATCCCAGTAATCCAAATGCCACGTCCGGGGCTACTCAACCACTCGAAACAACTCGACAGTGCCGACACACCCGAACACTAGCGTTTCACCTCCTTATCAACCTGATAAGAGCATCACCACTACTATTTATATTTCCGCAATAGCCGATGGATTGATCCAGATTACCTCGGAAGTATATCCCTTGGATATCTGTATATTAATCCCTCATCCTCATCCCTTTTCGCATATCATATCCATACAGACGGAATGTGTATATGCCTCAACGATGGTGCAACAAGTCTGTGCTCGGATAGTATTGGCGAATGGGATGTGCCGGACGCAGAGATTATGCGCTGTAGGGCCAGTGTCATGTGTATAGATCGATCCATATCATGCAATCTAGATCATCTGGTGATAGATGATGGATGGAAAGGGGACGGGTATACGGCATGCTTACTTGGCAGTATCCCCGTCTGAAGGGAGGAAAGGTATGTAGCACTCTGTATGAGAAGTCAATAAGTATTTAGTTCATTCCTCATCGTCAGTCTTCTGCTACATACTACCAAGTCATCTCTACAATCATCTTTACCAACTTCTAACTTCAATATACCACTAAGTATACACCCATAAACCATGGCCGTCACAGGTACATCCTCCTCCCTCCCTCCCTCCCTCCCTCCCTCCCTCCATCAACCCCTCACCTCTCACTAACCAACCAACCAACCAACCACACAGACCTAACACCCCAAACCCCCAAAAAAGAAGGAGATACATACACCAAAGCCCTAACCCTCAACCACCTCTGGGCCGCAAAAACTACCCTCCAAAACCCATCCCTCTTCCCTACCCTCGCGCGCGCCCAACACCCTCAAATCCTCTGGATAGGATGCTCCGATTCACGGTGTCCGGAGACCACTCTCCTCGATCTAAACCCAGGCGACGTCTTCGTGCATCGCAATATCGCCAATGTGGTGAATAGCCAGGATGTCAATTGTGCTGCGGTGGTGGAGTATGCGGTGTGTCATTTACGGGTTAAGCATGTTGTTGTTTGTGGACATACGTGCTGTGGGGGGGTTGGGGCTGTTCTTGCTAGTTCTTCTTCCCAGGAGGGGAAGGGAGATGAGAGTGTACTGGATGCGTGGTTGAGGCCGGTGAAGAGGGTTAGGGATAGACATGCGAGTGAGTTGGGGGGAATACATGGGGAGTATGAGAGGGGGGTCAGGTTGGTGGAGTTGAATGTGTTGGAGGGGGTGAGGGTGTTGAAGGGGATGGGGGTTGTGAGGGAGGCGGTGGAGAGGGGGGAGGTGCAGGTTCATGGGGTGGTGTATGATGTGGGTTGTGGGGTGGTTAGGGAGTTGGAGGTGGAATAGAGTAGGGTGTTGTTTGTGAGTGGGTGGATGTTAAGTTGTACTTTATTGTATATTATGGGGTGGTATAGATTTCACGGTTGCATTAGAAATTTAGTGGGAGAAGTGAGAAGAAGTTCAAGATATTAGCAGAATCTGATGATATCATGATAAAGCCAGTTTACTGCCTGCTGATTGTCTAAATGAGGCTGATGATACTATCTGTGTATATGGTGCGATTACTTGCTCGCTGTGTCTAACTGGATTCCCCAAGTCGTATTTAGGGTAGAGGAATAGTATGATGCCAATCGACACAATTATATATGATATATATACTATGCACCATATCAAAGAGAATATGAATTAAGCAAGCTTCGCAGAACAATCTCTGGTAGTCAACCAAATCCATGGAGTGTACCGGTTACTGCGAAATTTGAGATAGTAACAATAGTAGCAAAAATATAGCAGTTCGCGGTGGTGCCACCCCACATACTACCACTAGTACTAGACAGGCTAATCAACTTCTAGAACAAACACAAGAAGACTACAGAGAGAAGAGAATAATCTAATTGACCACGTTGTGCAGTCCTGATCGTATGATCCATCACATTCCCGCGTGGTAATAAATGATTGTCTGACTCGCGCATATATTGAGTCCCCCACTGCAGCCGTTAAGGCTTGGCGTTGCTTAGCCCAGCAATAAATTAAAAATCTTACCCTGTTTCTATGAGCCCACTCATGCTTATAAAGATACTGAATCTCTATATGTGACTTTTTTGTAGTATTTATCGTTATTAACAAAAAGGAAATGTATGCAAAGAATGTAGTATACAATACCCCAACTCCAACCAGCCAGCCAACCAACCTCCAAATGCTAATCATACGCCACAATAACCTGCCGACTAACAAGAATATCCGTATCGCCTGGAGGTGTTCCGCCCGCAAGAATCTGCTTCTGACTATCTCCATCGCTCATCTGACTAGGTCGTCGCGTATGATCGGGTACCGAGGTAGTGGTGATCTTGTTGGTATGCTTCCCCTGCTCAGCCAGCTCGTAATTGCGAGAATACATGTTTGCCGGTCCCGTGCGCTGAGAGCTGTAGTATCCCCGGGAGTTGTATCGGTTGTTCGACGATGTCTTGCGGTCGCGGAGGACGCGGAATAGTGGGCGCAGCGTTGCGACGTTGCCGACGATCATGCCCAGGGCGTTTTCGGCGAATCCCCAAATCACCACGTTGGTGACGCTGTAGAGGTAGTTGGATTGGCTGGTTAGGGCGACGGTGTATTTGAGACGGACGCAGGCGGACATAGAGGCGCTGGGGAGACCAATAGTTAGTTCATGCTCACCAGTGTGTAAATTAATAAGAAATTGTTCATACAAGACACCCAGGCCCATTAGTCCGACAATCGAGATCTTGGTGTTGCGGTTCAGTTGGACATTCCATAGGAGAGGTACGGGCCTGCTTCAGTCAGTGGTATTCGATAATAGCTGGAAGTGGTCGTACATGAAAGCCGTCACCCAGTCAGTGAGAATGTTAACAGCCGTGCAGGCGTAGTAGACATCAGCCAACACGTAGGATGGCTGGCAGTGTCCTCCCTTGGCGAGTAGTGAGGTATCCCAGGCCGCCCTGTAAAGTCAACATCGGTTGTTACGCTCAAATAGGTCGGGTGTCGTACTCAACAGGGATGCAGTTGATCAAGATAAAGATCAATGCGATGATATTCATCAGCACAAAGACAACAATCACCACGTATTGCACGTAGAGGTACGCTTTGCGACCTTCGGCCACTCGGATCAACATCCAGCTGATACTGAGCTTGATGGGAATAATGGCAGAACAATAACCGACTTCGAAAATGAGGAAAAACTGAAGGGTCAGTCCGATGTAGCTGATAATATTCGTACAGTTCTTACCTTTTGTCCTTCTCCTTGGTATTTCACATTCTGTGGCTCTGCCAATACAGAATCACGAATACCAATGCCATTGAAAGCACCACCAAGACATCCCGCTACCAGCACGGCGAATGGAACCTTGGAAAATTAGCCACCAGTAAGACCTGCAAGGCTCTAAACCCACCAATGCAACCGTCATGATCCAATCCTCCACACTCCATGACTTCCTGGTCACTCTGCAGTAAACCCGCAGGCCATAAGTCAATAATGCCAGCGTCGTCAACATAATGACACTGCCCGCCAGCGAAGGCGCTGCACCACCGTAGATGGCCATGGCGTCACGATTGAAAGCAGAGTCAATATCAGCCTTGTGGTGCAGACAAGGACATGGGTGTCAGACATAAATTTGAGGCAACATGGGGGAGTGGACATGAGTGGGGAGTTAATACGGTTATGTTAAGTCGCCGCCATCATGGCAGCTCTGGTGAAATTCCTGCTAGTACCTGGTCTAATACTCTTTAGGGATATCGTCGAGCACGCCGAGACAACTATGGCTTGTGGCACGGAGTCGCCATCTCTTCCACTTCGGTAGCCGGGAATACGAGTGCCCCCCTTTGCTATCTAAACCTTAAGTGATCGCCCGTTTGGCTTGACAAACGGAGCCCATCTAACTGTATTCATGCGTCCCCACAGTTGCGCTAACGTCCGACAGGTTAAAGTCGATGCCCTGACTCGCTGGTGCGAGGCAAAGGTTTTCCCGGAAAGTGGATCAGGACTGCCAACAGCATGCGTACCCTCGGATGACACACCGCTGTCGCCATGATCTGCCAATCTAGAACTCCTGGAAACGGAGAGGGTCGAACATTCTGCGACCCTCATTTGGCCGCAGGAGGGGAACGGGGAAATTACTGATAGCGATTGTCCTGGAGTGGTCTCCGGGCGTCTTGGCAGCTTCTAAGCGAGATGTCCACTCCACGTTCATTTGAACATTACTGCGTGGAGGTCGTATTTGCCACAGAGGCTAAGAGTCCAGCTATTCTGACTATTGAATTGGCAACATAACCCGGGATAAAGAAAGCGCTTCGCAAGAGAAAATTGAAGGGGAGATGGAATTGCCGATAATCGCCGGGAACCCTAAAGGTAGTCCCCGCAATTGCATGTCTGACGCACTAAAGCAACAAAAACTGGGTCACCCCAACCGGATGGAAGGAATTGATTAGGAAACGACGAGCGCTGCAGGGAGAAAGCATGACTCGTCGGGCAACTGCTAGCTTGCAACACAGTAGGACAGAGTCGCAATCGATTCCCTAAATCCAGTTAGACAGGAAACGCCTGTCCCGTCCAAACGCCATCAGGGAATTCCGATTGCCCTCATCCCCACTGCTTGCGACCGAGCGCCAATCAAGGAATTCTTACCGATTGGTATGGAGGTTGACTGGAAAGCTGCCAAGGCATCCAATTCTGGGTCGATGACTTACGCACACAAATAAATAGACTTCTTACCTCTCCATCCGTCCCAAGGGAAGAGTCGGGGAACCCGAGCTGTCGGCTCCCATCTGCGCGGGATTGACAATTGACATCCTCTCTTTGGCTAATTGCCCGATGGAAGAAACTAACCCACTACTAGTTATCCTTGGATCATAGATAACCAGTGGATGGCGGCTAATTTCCTGCAGGGGCACCTACTAGTCCATCAGTAGGGCGTTCAGGGGCTGCTGTGTGTGTGTGTGTGTGTGTGTGTGTGTGTGTGTGTGTGTTTGGGACGGGAGGAGTCACAACTGGCGGGGGAACCGGAGACTGCGCGACCCGAATTCGATCCATGGAACGTCTGTCCCAGGGAAATTGCGTGAAGAGCTTTATTCCTCGTGTCGGTCGTCTATGAACAGGATGCCATATGTTGCATGCTGCTATGTTGCTACCAAGCTTTACGCTTCATGGCGGCGCAGGGCACGAGCCAAAAGACTGCGTCTGCGGTGAGCTGGTCAGACGTGGATTTTCCCTTTCTCTGATTCTAAATAGTCGATTTGTACGGAGTTCAGCATCTACATCTTCCCGGGCCGCGGTTATTGATCCGTTGATCGACAGGCATCACACTCTCGAGTCGGGGTCGATTGGCGTGGATGATCTTGAAGCTATATATAGAACTTGACGGCTGAAGGAGGAATAGGGGTAACTAAGCACTCGGAATCTTCTCCCCGGAGACGCCTCCACACAAGTTAAGGAGATATTGTCCGAGTCAAAGGAGGATTAAGTATCACGGAACCGCATTCGATGATCCCTGGATGAGTGGTGTTGGGTTTGCTGTCGGTGGATGGAATCTGTCGTCGCGTTTCCACTTCCAGTATCTACGCAGTAGGAGAATGTCCGGCCTGCCGGCAGGTATACTACAGAATGTCAAGTTTGATCCAGACATCCACACTATTGGGCGAGTCATAATAACAATTGTGATAAAATGTGAAGGTGACAGGGATTGATGCGATGGCTGGTTTTTGCCCGATGGCCACTAATGGCAGCATGTAACGCGACGCGAGTCGCGACCGGATAACCCTCTTCCCTACGAAGTTGAACTTTGACACCACATCCTCTATCTCGGCACCCACCACCCCAGCTCATGCAAGTAACAGAGGCAATATGAGTTCATGTTCGGATGAATCGCTCGAAGATGATGGCCACCTTGACCTCAAGCAACAACTCTTGTTCACCTTGGACACCATCCAATCTTCCGGATCCTTCTTAGCCGGGGAAGCTTCGCTGGGCCTTGCCTTGCCTGGCCTGGACATTCCAGGCGTAGGCAATATTCGACTTCCCATCTCAGCCGATGATGCAAAAGCCATCATCCAGTGTTGCGATCGCAGTCCCTACGGGAAAGGTTCCGAAACCCTGGTCGACGAATCCGTCCGCAAAACATGGCAGCTCGACCCTGGCCAGTTCTCCCTTCAAAATCCCCACTGGCAACAGCAAATTGGTATTCTGGTGAATGACGCCGTCACCGGCCTGGGTCTGACTGCTCAATCGGAGGAGGTCAAGGCGGAGTTATACAAGCTACTGATTTACGAAGAAGGCGCATTCTTCCTCCCACACCAAGATTCTGAGAAGGCCGATGGCATGTTTGCTACATTAGTAGTGTGTCTTCCCTCGAAGCACAAAGGCGGAGATCTCATTGTATCCCACCGTGGTACCAAGATCAACTGGCGAAGTGCGCCATCCTCAGAGTTTAGCTTTTCCTGGGCTGCTTGGTATGCGGATGTTATCCATGAGGTGAAGCCGGTCATCTCTGGATATAGAGTGGCTCTAGTGTACAATCTGATCCATCGCCCGTCGCTTGGGGCTAGGATGCCCATTGTCCAGACAGACAAACTGGCCCTTCTCTTAGGATTCTGGGCTTCTCGCATTGACGAACAGATTCACCCCGGCCACCCAGCTTGGGATCGTTATGTCGATCACTGCTGCCCGCCAGCACTCGTCTACGCTCTCGAGCATCAGTATACTAGTGCCGAGCTCAGCTTTGATCGACTGAAAGGAGTTGACCAAGCTCGTTTTGCACAACTGCAACATGCGTGCCAGAGGCTTGAGTTCGGCATATACTTAGCCAATATTGAGAAGACCGAATCTGGCGCAGCTGAGGAACCATACGATAGCCGTCATCGGAAGCCTTACTGTGAGATAAACGTGACGGAGACCAATCTAGAGTTCTTAAAGATAGTGGATGCGCTCGGAACTGTTGTCGCAGAGCATCTGCCATTTCACGAGGATTTGCTTATCCAAAGCGGGTTCTTTTTGAATCGAGACCCGAATAAAGAAGAATATCAAGGCTTTACAGGAAATGCGGGTGCCCAGGCCACTCATTTTTACCGAGCGACAGTAAGTCATGCTTTTGGTTCCCACATTCGCTGTGTTTGGTGTATGTTCGCTTCTCATAGTCATAGGGAGCCATAATTGTTCCAAAGGCTTTTCGCTTTTCGTTCATACTCCACCGGTTGAAGAACTCCGTAGATAATGGTGAAGAACTTCTAGATGAGTGCCACCGTTCCGTCTCAGAATGTCTTGATGAAGGTTTTACGCAGTGGGATCTGGTCGAGGCCTGCAAAATAACCTTACAAAAGGAGTGGCTGCCATCCGAGATGATTGACAAGGTCATGCAGATAGCCATTGACGTTGATGACGTGGCTCTATTTTGCCAAGCAGTTGAATCTCTTCACGGCACTGTTTCGCCCTCTCAGATTACTAACATCGCGAATGTCATGGCGAAACATGGACTCGAAGCTGTCCGCGAAGCGTATGTTCACATACACATATACCATGTACAGCGTGTGCGTCCTGACACTTTCTAGGGTGGACCATGTCTTTCAGGCCCAACGCCGTTCCCCCATGATCTATAATTTGATTTCTGCGCGATACGCCTGGCTTGATAGCTTGGTCCGGGAATATATTGAGAGCTGCGAGGAACGGGGCCGAGAGGTATCGCCCGACGTGCTCGATTGGGACATCACTACTGCCAGCAAATTGATCTCCATACATTCGAGGGACACAGCTCGTGATGGCCACGAACTTGCGGTGTTACTAGAAACTTTGCCCCGGGAGAAGTTATTCGCAAGGTAGATAGACGCCTACTGGTTCCTGACTTATTACGCTAACAATACCAGAATCCACCCTTTCCTGGAGACTAAGATTGAGGACAGCGCTTTTCTTGCTTCGTTTTTTGTCTCGGCCTATGATTACTCCACTCCGGATGATTACGACCTTAAACGTGTGGTCGATGCAATGATCAAAGATCTTTTTCCGCGATTTGCTCGCGCTTTCCATATTGAACGCGAGCATACCTTTGCCTACTCCCGGAAACATACATTGACTTTCAGCGTTAAACCGGATACGATTGTAAGGGTGCTCCGGATAGCTGATATCAAGGACCTCGACACCACCGCATTATTCGATAACCTCACGGGGTTTGCTCTGGATCTGCAAGGAAACGACATGGATCGTGTTTTCTCCGACTTCCTGTTGCCAGTGGTAAAAGATATTTGCGACAACGTCATCACGTCCCGGAGCCCTTCCACCACTTATAAACGACGATTTGTTAAACACGTTCTGAACAAATATGTGGTTGACTATGTCCAATCTCCTCCTCTCGTGCCAGCCGACTATAAGATCAAGACCCGTATAGACTGCTGCTGCCATATCTGTACTAAGCTTAAGCTAGACACTTTCATCGATGATCCTACGAGAAAGGCCACCGATGTTTTCATGGCTAATTTCGACAAGAAACACTTTGATCGCTACCTCGACGACGCTTATTTCACCAAAACTCTCATCGGACCTCCCCGTTCGGGCATGCTG